GAGTAGAGACTGTGTCCCAGCTGTGAGGGTGAAGGAGTAGAGACTGTGTCCCCAGTGGGCAGAAGAGCAGGAGAGAGCGGGTGCACTTCCGCAATCTCTTAGAAAGTGGCTTATCTTCCTAACACCATTGCCTTGTCGGTTAACTTCCTGATATTTGTGTTTTGAGGGAATGTATTCAAGCCATAATAGTCCATTTAATCGAAGCCATCAATTTATAGACATTAAAATGTTTTACAAATTTATTACCCATTTAGTAATCTTTGGAATTTGAGATTAGTCGCCTCTTTCATTCTCAGCATTGGTAGTTTGTACCTTCTCTCCCCCCTTACCCCCCGTTTTCCTATAACTTCCTAGACTGTGAAGGATTCTGGCCTTGATGAGGGTCCCATAGCCTAGCTCTGCTCCCTGGCCTGGTGTGTATCATACTGAAGTTTCTTAACCAAGTTTCTAGGGTTTCCTAGGATGTCCACAGTAAGTCCATGTCCCGATAAAAATAAAAAATTGAGTTTGAAGATAAGGACATAAGCTGGGTTTGATGGTCTGTACCTTTAATCCCAGCACCGGGGAGGCAGAGACAGGCAGATCTCTCTGAGTTTGAGACCAGCCTGGTCTACATAGTGAGTTCCAGAACAGCCAGGGGCACATAGAGAAAACTTGTCTCAAAACAAACAAAAAAGAAAGGAAGGGGAAAAAAACCCCAACCAAAGATAGGACATAATTTCATCTGAGTTAGAAATTTCCCCCTTTTGGAGATCAGTTGATATCAGATATGTATAAATAACCTAAAATCTATTGCATAAGATTTTAATTTTATTTTTATTTATAATATTTTTATATTTTACATACCAACCACAGATACCCCTCTCATCCCTCCTCCCACTCCCCCTCAGCCTCCCCCTACTCTGACCCAACCCCCAACCCCTCCTCAAAAAGGGTAAGTCCTCCCATGGGGAGTCAGCGAAGCCTGGTACATTCAGTTGAGGCAGGACCAAGGCCCTCCTCCTGCATCAAGGCTGAGCAAGGTGTCCAACCATAGGTAATGGGATCCGGAAAGCCAGCTCCTGCACCAGGGATGGATCCTGATCCCGCTGCCAGGGGCCCTCAAATAGACCCAGTTACACAACTGCCTCCCATATGCAGAGGGCCTCTGAAGCAGATGCAAAGATCCACAACTAAGCACCAGGCCAAGCTCCCGTGGAAGAGAGGGAAGAGGGATTCTATGAGCAAGGGGCATCAAGATCATGATGGGGAAATCTACGGAGACATCTGAACCAAACCAGTGGGAACTCATGAGCTTTAGACCAATAGTGGTGGAACCTGCATGGGACCGGAGATTTTAATTTTAATATTGACTTAATATGATAAGTTGCTCGGTGCTCACCCTAGAGATTCCAATTCATTTTGTCTGAGGTAAGGCCTGAATAAAAACATTTTTACAGCCTCCCTGAGATCTGACATAAGATGAGGATTGAAGCTACTGGAGTGGATGACCTTGTAAAGGCTCTTCAGTGCGGCCCCTGCTGCGGACTGGGACTATTAGGTGGGCTTGTGCTGCCCTCTAGTGCCTCCATGGAGGTCCTCTCATTTTTAAGGTGCCTAGTGATTTCAATGGGTACTGGATTGTGTGCAATGCATTAGCAAAGATGTTTGTGTGGGAAAGTGGTCATGGATCTCTGTCACCACTGTTTCCTGAATGTGAGACGCAGTCAGATCTTTCCAAAGGCTTTCTTGGGAGACAACACTGGCACCCATGGTGTGTCTGCTCAGATTTTCTTTACAAGGCTATGTGACCCACAGCACTTATGAGCTTACAGCCATGAACAGCTTCCTGGAGAAATTTGATGACAATAATTGTAGTACTGCCCCCCGACAATGGAAACAGTCTGACTTCCGCACGTTTTCTAGAAACAAGTGAGCAAGGTTCCTTTACTGTGCTGTGGACACCCAGAGTCCACAGAGGCGTGTCTTAGGCGTCATCTACCTTGTTTCCTGTTCAGACATGAGATAGGACACACGTGACGATCCATACACTCATGACTAAAAATGACCTAGTGTGTCCACCGCTTGATGGCGCCTTTGTTCAGGAACTCTGGTCCCACCGTGCTCTCCTGCCGACAAGCACCAAATTAGCAAAGAAACCTACGCTGGAGGGTACTCTGCAAACACACATTTTCCTCTAGCACGGCGTTCCAGTTCCTCCGCCCTGAGAGAGAGGAGCAGCGCCCAGGGAGTGAGTGGAGAGGAGTGTGCAGCGGGAAGTCTTAGTAGCGTGGTGACCTCAGAGCAACTGTGGGTCACCCGTGCACTGATGGGCGCAGGTGCAAGGGTTACAGAATTTGTTGATTCTTGCCTGGGTAAGAAGTAAAGCCCAAGGTCTGCCATTGTAGCCTAGAGGGCAGCAGACAACCTGTCAAGGGAATATATTAAAACACCGTGGGGTGTGCTGGGAGAGAGTGTCTGCAGTCCTAGAATTTAGGAGCTTAAGGAGGATCTCTTGAACTCAGGAGTTCAAGGCTGGCTTGGGTGACATATTAAGACCCTGTCTCAAAAAATAAAAAATAAAAAAAGTTATACAGATTGACTATCTGAAAGATTTGAGATCAGAAGTATTTTGGATTTTTAGATATATTTGCACATACGTAAGTCTACCATGAAGTTACTTAAGTTTCATCAAAACCTCATAGATGTTGATTCAAGGCTGTTTAATGCACCTGTCACGTGAGATTAGATATAGAATTTTCCATGTGTGGTATCATGTAGAATTTTTAGAAAGTCAGATTTTGGAACCTCTTGAGTTTCAGAGTAGGGATTCTCAACAGTAAAAGAAATCTGCTATTTCTAGGCTCGTGGACCTGCTGCTAACGCGTTGACACGCTGGTCGTATGAAGTGTGTGTCACTGGGACCAAAACACCTGGCTACAGGAGGGTGAGATTTATCTTGGCTTATTTACAGTTTCCATTTTCGTAGTGGGAGGCGTGGCAGAGTGGCTCAGCCTGTGGCGGTGGGAACACGAGGCTGTTCCCATGGTGGTGGGCCAGGAAGTAGAGAGGGGAACTGACCGAGATCTCTAACCTGCAAAGGCCTGCCCTGGGGGAGCACTTCTGCCAGCTAGACCTCTCTTGGGGGCTCCAGAGCCTTCCAGAGTCAAAACTATGAGCCTGTGGGGTTATTCCAGACTCAAGCCTTCACACCGCTTTTCACTTGGCTTTCGCTGACCTGACATTTAGTACTCTTTGTTTGAAGAGATTCTCTCATTCCTATCTCATTTTGATATCTGCAAATTCATAAAAAGAAGTTGAAATGGCTCAATGCCATCTCATATTCACATGGAAACTTTTCCTAAATAATCTTTCATTTAAAACTTGATTTTGTTTTGCAGGTGAGAGACATTTAAGGAAAACTTTCACTGATCCATTGATCAAATAATTTCCAGAATATTCTTCCTTGTAATTAGTTTTAAAAAGAAGTCCTCATAGCCACAATTTATAAGATTTTGCTATGATATACTTAGCATAAAATAAATACCATTTTAACAACTTTTCTTGGTATTTATTTACTTATTATATTACTTGGTGCTGGGGATCAAGCCCAAGCTTTACAACTACTGGACAAAGGGTCTCTCTCACTGAGCTCTGTGCCCATCCCTTACTCATTTCTAAGAGGATCGTTCAGAAGCATGACGGGCATTCCAATGTAAGTGTCATCAACACTTTAATTTCCAGAACAAGTGTGTCCCTGATAAACACTGTTTTATGCTTTCTCAGTCCCTGGAAAGGATGACTCTTGCTTCAAATGAGTTAGTCTTGCCTTTGAAACTAGTCTTTTTAAGCATCCTGTGAACAAGCAAGCAATGCAATTATTATCTACCTATCTAACTTTTGGTACTCAGGGTGAGTACATATCAAATATTTACCATGTCCAATTGATGGAGGGCTGGATGCTGAAGGAAGGACCAAATAGCCTTTTCAGACACTTTGAACCAAGACCACTCTTAATCAGAACAAGAATTCTTAATCTCAAGGAAGTTGTTGGAGACATACTGTCCTGTCACTATGGGCCATGAAGTTGACATTAATGTGTCAATCAGTGGACATAGGAAGGGTAAGTATTGGGGTTGAACAGGGGAAATCTTGCTATGCCTAATGGTGTTCAGATTTTCATAAACAGTTTCATTCAATATTGTAATCATGGTGGTTTCAACCAAAGATTCCCAAGTTTGTAGCCCTTGATAAAAAGTCTTGCCAATAAGCTGTCTAAAGGGATAAGCCAGGTGCCGCAAGATCTGCAGAGACAATTGTAAAGTTTCAAGCCTTGGATGGAGCTCTCAAAGTTAGTCTTATTCATGTGCTTCTATGAAAGGTGCTGCTTATATCATCCACCCATTTCAAGATAGACTACACAGCCTAGCATAGGTCCTTTAATTTTCAGAACTATGTAGAAGGACAGCAGCCAGATAGGTTTTTATTGTTTTGTTTTGTTTTCTCCTGGCCTATTTTACATGATCTTCTTCCTAAACCTTTCAATACTATCAGTCATTGCTTGTGACATTAAAATGATGCTTTTAAGATTTAGCAGTATAATTCCTGCCCAACCCCGTTGTATGATTTTTAGTTATCTCCCCAGTATAGACAATGTAGTTCATGGATTCCTCTGACTTAGCCTGTCTTGTTTAAAATGTATGTAGTGTGCATAAAGACTCAGTTATTTGGAGATGATTGCCAGACTGTGGAGTTAACAAAGAACTGGGCTGTCACAGTACAGGGAGTAGGGAAGCGTGAAGGGGTATATGCCCCCTGTGACTGGGACATCGTTTGTCACAGGCTCTGCAGCCTATATAGACAACCGACACCGTCATCTCAATGATGAGTCACCACATGACTTTATCCAAGATAGATGAAGGTTTGCAGTTCTGCGGCCGCTTTGTGGAACAGGAGGGCTTTGTGAGGTAGTTTGGTGGCCTGGGTTTATCTTCTGTGAGGCAAAGAGTCGGACTCTAGAATTCAGAGTCATTGCATTCTAACACTCTGGAAGCCTGGGAGAGGGATGACTAAGGAAGTCCAATGATGTTGAGCCCTACTTTTATTCTGTGGGATATGGGATACCCATTATATACTTATGGATCTCTATTCATTATTGCATTATTTATTTGGCATATTAAAAGGAGCCATCAAGGATTAAGGTTGGGACCTAACAAGAGCTGTTACAAGGTAGGGAAATACTATGACCAGGCCTGAATATGTTGTTTACAAGAAGTTTATTCCCTCACCATCTCTTGGTTATCTTACCCCTTGATTTTTTTAAAATGAGGATTTCTTCACTGGATCCCAGATCAGCTCTGATTTGAGTGATTACCTTGGTTGGTGGACATTTAGGACCTTTGATAACTGAAGCCCTTTGGTTACTTGTATTGCCCATCATTTACTCTGTCCCACCTTTCTTCTTGCCTCATGGACCACAGAACTTGTCCATGAAATGGGATGGAAGGTATAGCATATGGAAGACCCTGAAACTGAATCAGGAGTAAGAAGAGAAGGACAAGGGCGCTGAGCTGGGAAGGGGAGGTAGGGGGTGTAAAGACGGAATACAGAAAAAGATTCGGGGACATTTCTGGATTTTGTTTCACTTTAGACATGAAAAAAGTTGGTGTTTCCACTTCATGTTCTAATGTTTTTATCTTTCAAGTGTTACAGAAGAGTGAAACAAAGACCTAGAGACAGAACACCAAAAGGTAAATCCCAGTTTCTTTGACTCCCTACCTCTGTGGGTGAGGTTTCCACGGATCCTGACCCTATCCCAGTTTCTTTGACTCCCTACCTCTGTGGGTGAGGTCTCCACGGATCCCGACCCTATCCCAGTTCTTTGACTCCCTACCCCTGTGGGTGAGGTTTCCACAGATCCTGACCCTATCCCAGTTTCTTTGACTCCCTACCTCTGTGGGTGAGGTTTCCACGGATCCTGACCCTCCGTCATGACTGGCACAGGAAGCCAGGTGTTCCCAACCCTTGAAGACTGGGCTTATTAATCAGTGACAACTAAAGACTTATGTAGGCGGGAAAGAGATGAGGCGTACTCCATCTTCCACCTGGCCTTCCCGAGATGAAGTACAAGGATGTGGGGCCAATGTCTTTACTTCTGTCATTTGCGAGTTTTAAAGCCCCGTGGAAGCCATGTTACCTCCATGCTTGTTCTCCACAAAATGGGCACTAACGGTGTGGTTGTGAAGAGCAAATGAAATCGGGTACAGGGCAGTACAGCAAATCGTTGTACACAGAGCATTTACTCTCGGGGTTATGGGTCACCCGCCCTTCAAAAGCCTTCAGCTTCTTCTTGTTTCTCAAGACAGGGTTTCACTGTGTTGTGTAGCCCTGGCTGTCCTGAATCTCACTCTGTAGCCCAGGCTAGCCTCGAACTCAGAGTTCCACCTGCCTCTGCCTCCTGAGTGCTGGGGGTAAAGGTGTGTGCCACCAGCAGCAGCTGCCTTTAGCTCTAGTTACCCCCTCAGACTTCCATTCTGTCTAACCCTGTGTCCTCCTCCTTCAGTTAAGAGAACGTCCAAGGAAGAAGCCGAGAAGCTGCAGAAGCTGCTCTCTGTCATGAAAAGGTAACTCTTGCTCTCTGGGGTCTTTCAACTCCCAGCCTGGCTCGACTGGGCAAAAGATAAGAATGGGGGTGTTGACGGGAGAGGAGAGGAGAGGAGGAGAG